CACATTTGTGCCCTCATGTATTCAGATTCTGGCAATATGTGTGATGCTAAAACTGCAAGGATCCATGCAAAGAGTTGGCCTGGGGACTAGCACAGTCTCCTTTGGCAAATTCCATTGAGCACAATCGTTTCCATTGAGGACATTTCAAACATATAGCAATTCCTTTAAAACAATTCCAGATGCTGCCGTTTCTTATCACTATTGGGTGTTAGTATATCAAACATGTTTCTCTAACTATTCAAGGTCACGTTGGTTGAGCACCAGACATGAGACTGGAAAGTTGTGGGTTTGAGTCCCAATGGGTCCACTAAGCCCTGAAAACCTTGTCACTTCTCCAGCATGGAAGGTATATAATGCCTCAACTGGCCAAAGTGTGAACCCCAATGGCCATTGAGGGGTTGTGGTACGGAGAAGCCCATCACTACAGGGGAGGGTGGTGAGCTCTTTGAATTGGCATTGAAGGTGTGAATGTTGGAATACAGGAAGATATATAATATGCAGATTATTGATGAACAAGAGGTTTGGGCACCTGCAAAGTTCCCAAGAGTCCATGTATATTGTCTTAGTTACAATATTTGCTTGCAGTGCAAAATAAGATGAGGACTTAGCATGTGTTTGTTTGTGTGTGTGTGTGTGTGTGTGGTGGGGGAGTGGTGTGGGTGGAGGATGTGTTAAGCAGATGCCATGCACCTGTTTTTTACTGAGAAAGAATCCTGTGTCCAGGGAGCCAATACTTCTATTTTGAAAATCTTGGGAATAGGTTGCAATTGACGCCACTCATGAGACACATAGGAACCTAGAGAGGCAGGATGTGGTCACTCAAGGCAGTAGCTTCAATCTTGTGGGGGTGTTACAAGAAATCCACATGAAAAGACAATCAAGTGTATTTATTGGGTCACAGATCCAGGTGAATGTCAACGTGTAATGTCTTCCTCGAGGTTCAGGTGGATGTGCATGTGTATAGCTAAAGTGAGTACAATCTTTTAAGTCTGTGGCTGGTTAACAGTAGAGGATAGTCCTCCAATAAGCATGTTGTTTTAAAATATGAATGCCTTGCTGATGGAGATGCCTCTGATTGAATCTTGTACATGCTTCTTCTTTCTTTCTGATATAACCTGAGGATTCAGTGGAGAAGGTGAGAATCCAAATGTTCCAATCCGTAATGGCCAGTAATGGGACTCATGTTCAAGGTATTGGGTGAGAGTTCTCCGCCTGGGGGCCATTGCCTCCCTTTCATCTCTTTCCCTCTCAGATAATACTATCTACAATTGCAGTACATGACATTTCATATTGGTCTACTCTGCACACTCTGTTAAAGCTGCAGCACTCCATGAAAAGATTTCTCACCTATCAGTGCACCTCCCCATCCCCCCACCCCGCATTTTCCGTAGGTCTCAGACGCAATCTCAGTTTAACTGGCTTCCAGCAGATTAATGAAAATAGCAGTGCAATATTTGTTCCTGCTAAATGTTTGCAAAAATGCTAATCCTTAACTGAATGCAGTCCTATCCCTCTCAGTTATAGCCTCTTTATTCCAAACCTTTAGTTTTTATATATCAGCTATCATTGTTCTCGTTGATGTATCTGGAAACTGAAAACAGATGGCAGAAAATGACCTAAGTGTAGTGTGTCCGATTTGTTTTATAATTACAGTCCAGCTTCAGGCTTGACTGTATGATGCTGGTTTTCAATTACATTCTTAAAGAAAAATCCAACGAACCGTTGGCCATTTTTCTCTGTTTTGCTTAGGATTGATTTGGTATTTTTCTTAAAATCAGAAGCAGCAGAACTTAAAAGAAAATCTTAGTTATTTTTACACATATTTATGAAACAGTGCATTGCTGTTTTATTCGGTTCAGTAATTCACTCTGAAATCCTATTCAAATAAAAACAGGTAACTAGCATGTTGTTTTAAAATAAACAAGTAATTCAGTCAAAGAGCTCCCATGACATTACAACTTCATCATTGCAACTCCCAAGATTCAATAACTGCCTTTAATTGTGGAAGCCATTGTATACTGAGATCTAAAACACAGCGATTTAAAAAGTCATCCTTAATTTAAAGAAAAGCAAAAAGTGCGTCTGGTGAAGGAGTTTCCTCTGACACAATCTACATTTATTTGGTGTCAGCTTGGTACAGTTGGTAGCACTCTAACCTCCAGGTCAGAAGGGTGTGGGTTCATCTCCACATTGTAATCATAAACTCAGAATCTAGGCTGGAAGAGTTGGAGCTGCTGTTCTTTGGATGAGGCATTGAACTAAGGTCCGTTTGGGCTATTCAAGTAGACATTAAGGGTCCTGTGACACTATATGAAAAGAAAAGGGAGATTCTCCCGCTGTCCTGGCCAACAATCTCCAGAAATACTGGTCATTTATTTCATGGCTATTTGTGGGATACTGCTTAGCGTAAAGTGGTTTCTGCATTTGCTTACCATTACACTTCACAGAAACTTTGGGAAGCTCTTTGAAATGTCCTATATGCTCTATCAAATTCAAGAATGCTATTGCATTTAGACTAGAGGTCCAGCAAGTTGGCATGAAGTATGTATCTTAACAATAATCCTTGCATTTGATTATTATCAAATCATGCACCTTATCATGTTGTTGAAAGGTTCAAAGAGCTCCATAAGAGTTTACAACAACAACAACAAGATTCCATTTATAGAGCACCTTTCACGTCGGGAGGAAAGTACTGTAAAGTTTACTGTAAAGTTTAGCAATTGTGTATTCATAGGTGAATGCAGCAGCTCAGTTGCACACAGCATTGTCCCACAAAACTTAATTGAAGTAAATAACCAATTTTATTTGGGGGATTGTTGGTCTGGACACTGGGAGAAACCCCTTTGTCTTTTTGAATAGGAACATGGGATCTTTCTGGTCTTCCTGGACAAGCACACAGGATCTCGGTTTAAAATCTCACTGAAGGACGTCACTGACGTCTGACAATGTAGCACATTCCCTACACTGTATTGGGATGTCACCCTAAATTCAAAGTCACGACATGGGGCTTGAACCCACAATTTTCTGACTCAAAGGCAAGAGTGCTACCAACTGAGTCCGGCTGACACAAGTATTGCTTGGAGGGAATCCTAACTTGTATTCTTTATATAAGGAATCCTGTTTCAAATATATTGGACTCAATGTTTATATTAAGGCAGGTACTGGGGACAATATTTATATGTTATTGCTAAACTTCATTTGTATTGTCAATATAATATACTTTTGGATTGGATTCACTCATTATTCAGGAGTGGTCTTGGGGAATGATATAAGTGAAAGTGTAATATAGATGAGAATGACACAGGATCTGTGGAATAAATAAAATCCTTTGACTCTATGAATAATGACCTGTGACTGATACCATGGCAATGCCCATATTTTATGAGGAAAAGTGTTTATTATAATGAAAATATGTGAAATGTACAGAAGCGTTTCAATTATATCAATAAAAAAAACTACAGTCAAGGAGAAATAGCCAGGGTGCAAAATGTAATGTACGACTTAGACTTGGTTGACAGAGCTATGCTGTCAAAATAGTTACTAATCATTTTAGTTTGTTTGTGATAGCTTTTTCAGTCAGCACTCCCATTTACCATAAAGGATGAAATTCAGATTGTCTTGTGCACTACAGTAATATAAAGCTTACAACAAGGGAAGATGAATCATTTAAGATGGGGTAAGAATCTTTAGCTTAATAAAATGCTCAGGTACTATGTCTGGCCTTTGATGATCTCTTCTCACCTCATTCCAGCACATTCATGGATTGTAAGAATCAATGTATTTGGAGTTTTTTAAAAAAAATCAGATTCATTGTAGTTTTTGCAGAGATTTCCACATTCCAGCCATCCTCTACGTCAGGTTTGGCCAAGTTGCAGCTAGTGGGCTACATGCGGCCCCAATTTGGCATCTCTGCTCTACATAAAGAAATGTTTCTAACCACTTTATGATTGTCTATCCCTCGTGAAGGTATAAGGTGTTGTTGTTGAGTAGACTTTGTAATGTTTAGTATATCGTTGTTAAGGTCAGTACATAGGCAGAAACTAAAGGTCCCATGAACTGATTAATTGATCTTTCAAGTTGTGACTTTCAGGATTTAGGTGCAGTGACTTGCCATGGTTAATGCCAGGGTCAATTGTAATGAACCATAAAACCATAGAAATCTACAGCACTGTAGGAGGCCATTCAATCCATTATATTAGTGTTTGCTCCTCCAACGAAGCCATCTATCCTAATCCCAATTCCCAGTTCTTTCCCAGTATCCTCTAATTCCCTGCCTCTGCATGTGCCTATTTAATTCCTGTTTAAATGCCCCAATCAATTCTGCTCCAATAGTCGCCCCTGGCATTCATTCCACATGCTTGCAAGCCTCTGAGAGACATTGTTTTTCTAACTTTTATCTTTAAATCATTTACCTGAGGAAATAGTTCCTCGCCATTTATAAAAGAGAAGGGAATTTCTCCCAGTGTCCTGGCCCATGACCCCCTCAAATAAAACTGGTCATTTAATTCATAGTTGTTTGTGGGACATTTCTGTGCACAAATTGGCTGCCGTGTTAGTCCGACAAAACACACCAGCACTCCACTTTACAGTACACCTTGTGTAAGTGTTTTGGGAAATTCCTCCTGCCGTGAAAGGTATTTTACCAAATGCGAGGATTATTATTATTATCTCAAAGTCATCTATATGGAGAAAGACCAGGGAAGTGGGGTTAAAATATAAGAAGCTGCCATGATCTAATAAAATGTCATACAGAATAGGTTTGTAAAGCTGGGTGGCCTTCTGCTGTTCCAACATTCCTACATAACATAAGTAGCTCTGCTACTTACAAATGTTTACACTATTCTAAATAAATTAGAATATTTTCTCCCAGGTTGTGACTAAATGCTGAGTGCTGACCATCCATTGGAGTTAATTGCTGACTTTAGAATGCAGATACAGTCCTTATTATTATTATTATTATGTTCATCACCAGGTTCCTTTCTTTCTCTCTTTTTCTTTAGACATTAGAGAGGAACACTTAGATGGCCAGGTTGCAAACGAGAATGTGGAAGTGTACAGTGACAAGGAGACAGGCCAAAGAAATTCTCCAGATCTGGCGAAAAGTAAGAGCTATGCAGCCGAAAGCCCTGAAACTTCAGTGGTCGATGAAGAGAGGCTGGTAATGCAGAAGAGCAGCAGTACACCAGAAACAACCACAGAAAGTCCCAAATTCCCTCCAGAACAAAGCCACCTGCTAATGGAGGGTCTATCGGGCAGCATGCCGCTTCCTTTTCCTTTAAAAGGCAACAGACCTCCGATTGAAGTGTTGAAGAAGATTTTCCCAAACCACAAACCGACAGTTCTGGAGCTGATTTTGAAAGGTTGTGGAGGCGATCTCGTTGGTGCCATTGAAATCCTATTGTCAAGTCGCTCTGCAATAGGTTCGGATAGATCTACAGAAGCCTCAGATACCTTCTCCTTATCTTCCAACGGACAGACTTTCTTTGAACATACAATTGGCTCCTACCCTATGTCCTCCTCCAAGTGGTCCGTCGGGTCAGCTTTTAGGGTCCCAGATTCCTTTAGGTTCTCCGGTGACCCTGGCAATGTGATGCCAACGCCCTTGACCATGCCACTGCAAAACCCATTTCCTCAACCTCCACGTTACCCGCTGGTCCTGAGGAATACCTTGACCAGAAACCAGGGAAACCCATTTGTATCAAACGACATGGCTCTGTGGAACACCATGACCCTCCAACAGCAGTACCAGCTCAGATCCCAATATGTCACACCTTTCCCCAACACCTCAGCTGGAATTTTTCGCAGTTCCCCAGTGCTGCCCCCTCGTCCTTCGGATGATGCTAGGCTTTCCATTGCAGATGAAGGCTGTTCTATGGTGACCAAGCAGCCCATTTATACAGAGGAGGACTATGATGAAAGGTCTGATTCTTCAGACTCCAGAACAATGAACTCATCCTCTTAGAAGAAATCTATCTAAATAAGATATTGAAAGGAAAGTACTTGAATGTAGTAACAAGGATTCCATCCAACACTTAATGTCCCTAACTGGACATACCCAAAGGATAATAAAATAATTATTGTTTATGTTGTCATGATTAGATGTGTTAGTACTCTGAAATATGTAAAACTGGTAGCTATACTTTCTACTGCATGTAATATCCTGTGATCCTGACTGCAAATAAACAAGAACTAGGAACTTGAACAGTTATATGTAGCACGGCCAAGATTTTAGTGCAAATAAATGAAAATGAAACATATATTCAGTTGCACAACCTACCATTTGTAATGACTGATTAATTCATTCATTGTGTTTAGCACATGTTAAACATACATTTTCAATTAACATGATAGTTTTTATTTCAAATAGGGGGCTACTAGACTAAACTGCCAAGAAGTTGGATGAACCAAATGTAGTAATTACTACACAATACAAGCTACATTTACATAGCGCTTTTTACATCAGGAGGATGTCTCAAAGCGATTGGGATAGCAAAACCTTTATTTACCTAATATATATTGGTTGATTGAAACAACAAAACCAGCGTCTATTGAATATCATTCAAAGATACTGGACTAGACAACGTTATCAGATATTTGGCTACATCTAACTTTGCATTGCAATATTCAACAGTAATAATAATCCTTGCATTTGATATAGTGCCTTATCATCTCAAAACGCTTCGCAGGATATACTGTAAAGTGGTGTGATTGTGTGTATGTTGTGGGCAAATGCCGAATCCCATAGCCCTGCCTGCTCTCTGAGGGAAAACACAGGTTGTTTAATATTTAAATATGATCCCATTTGGTGATAATGAATATTTGAAGCTGCTCGGAGAGAGCCCAAAACAGTGACGAACAAAAGCTGACTGGGTTCAGGCACACACAGTAAAACTGTACTTGTGGACAGCAGCTATGGTGCTGCCTGAGAGGTAGGTGTAGAATAGCAGCAAGCTGTTGTTTTTCTGAGCAGAAGGATTGTTATGGACTGCGCATTATTCAATTGGGAATTATTTAATGAAGAAATATTTATCTACCCAATAATCAAGGTTCCTTTCCTTATTTTTTCTTTTTAATCATTTACCATTTTAAAAGAAATATGGCCTTTCAGGATCTTTTTTGTGAGGCTATGAATAGTGAGCTAAGGAATATCCATCCCTCATCCAAGTATGATGTGTGACATATGCGCTACCAAGAGAATAAGGACTATGGCACATCCGACAATCTGGCTTGTGTTAAGAGCTCATCCCCCCCTCCCCACCCCACACACACACGCGTACGTTCACTCATTTCACTGTCACTCATTGTAGAACAAAGAAAAATTGGTTACACTTTTTCTAAGCAGAAGCTGCTAATGAAGTGAATAATAACAATATATTATTATTATAACAATAGTTGAATTAAGGGGCGTTCTGTGAACCAGTACTGAAAGCCCCCCAAGGGCAGCTTCAAGACAAAGTTAGACTGGGAAGATTATCAGTTGCACATTGACTGCAACATCCACAGGGGCAGAATTTTTAACAATATCATTGATGGAAATAATAATCATTTGATCTCGAAACATCACAAAGACCTTCACTGATAATTGCTGTAAAGTGCAGTGACGTATTTATAGGTGAAGGTGGCAACGAATTTGCACACAGAATGTTTCATTAACAAATATGAAAATGAGTGACCAATTTATCTGGCATACTGTTAGTCAAGACACTGGGGAAAACTCCCTTCTCAATCTGAGAAACATCATACGATCTTTAATATCTACCTATGATAAAGCAACTCTACATCAGCTCTGCACTGGACCGTCAGCTGAGACCGTCAGCACAAAGTCCTTACAAGGAACTTGAACCGAAAACCTCTGACCCACGAGTGAGAATGCTACCAGCTGAACCAAGATGATACCTGGCTCAGTTATAACATCAAATGTCATATTTTTCAACTCATATCTTCTTTTGGAATATTATTTTCTCCTCAATTTCCCATTGAAACCCACTAACCTTTCTTGTTTGAAAAAGCCTGGTCCCAGTCAATGCCACTGTGGGTAAACACTTGAAGCTTGATGAGAGACACGTGGGATGGCTTGTCTCATTTTCATTCCTTTTCTGTAGGGAAGTTTTTGGTCTAGACCCCACGCCCCCACCCTACACACACACACAACTAATAAAAATATTATAAAACAATGCAAGGTTTGAGGGTTTAAGAATCAAAGATTTCCTTCTTCCAAATAACCAGATTATGGTTATTAAACCCACTCCAGAATCTATTGGGTTAAATCTGAACGTTTTGATTTAAGCACTAAAACGCTGGCGGTTTTGGAATGGTAAGTGCACTAAATGCAAAATAATAGAGATCTGGGAGCGATTACAATACAGCAATCTGGACAAGGGATTGAGAGGATGTCACAATCCACAAGAGCAAAGCTCCAGGGGTGTCTAATCATCATTTGAATCATGGGGTTAGATCACTGCAATGGAATCACTCCAGGGATGGGTTTGTTTTTTTTTCATTTTCATTTACAACACAGTCAATCTGGTGGGTTAGAATTAATCCAGCCACTACCTGACCGTGTGCTACCTGACAATGATAGGTGTGGTATTCCCCACTGAGCGGTTAACAGTCATGGCCTCGTTCATAGGGGGTTGTGAAGAAACAAATTGCAGCTCATGACCAGGAAATTCTACGACCTAAACTCAGGGTTTAAGTGCTGCTGAGGTTCAAGCAGCAGCCAGGAACGTTCTTGCCTTCAAATATAGCATGTTTCTCAATGTTTTGTATTGTACGTTGCTCAGACTGAGTTGTGGCTGAACAAACCCTATCCCGCTTGAATTGCTGAATGAAAGGTTAAATGGGCTGTGGTACAAGGCTTGCTAATTTTCTCTGTGGTCTACAGAAACCCTGATTTCAATATAGTCCAAGCACAACCATCTTAACAAATGAGCTCTTTGTTTATTATGGTTCTTGTAGCCAGGCTTGTGGGGTGCACTGAATAGAACAATTGTCCCTCCAAGCGTTGACAACAACAACAACTTGCATTTATACAGCCAGAAGAGGGCGAGAGAGATGGGCTTGTGGAGCCTTGTGCGGGAGAGAATCTCAGTTGTGTAATGTTATTCATAGCAATAGGCAGTGCTATGCTAGTGAGAGAGAAATTTGCTCACTGCAAACCTTAATTTCAAAAAGCAGCCAATTAACCAATTGATCAAAACTATCGACTCAGAAACAAATTTTATCAAACACCCAGTAGGGGCTGGAATAACTTTTTACATTTTTTTTCCAAATTATCCATAAGAACATAAGAAATGCTAGACGAAAAAGTCCAAGGTCCATCTAGTTCGCTTTCCACCTTCCTGGCGGTCACATGCACATATGTCCCAAACTACCTATATATATTGTCCCATGATGTTATTTCCTAAAAGAAAACTTCAGGAAATGATTCAAGATTCCCAATTGAAAATAAAGATTTGCCATTGCAAAAATGTAAAGCAAAGGAGATGCAACTGACTGCTAACCTGATGGAAGTCCATCATATCTCACCTGGTAAATTTTCTGAAATCACTTTATAGTGAATCCTGTTAAGCGCTTTGAGGTGCAATATGAAATGCAAGGACTATAAAACAATATTACTACAGTACAGTAGTTTCTCTTCCAATGAATTTACTCAAGCAAAAATATTAAGGGGAAACAACAAATTATACTTGTATAGTGCCCTTCGCGTCGGAAAGATGTTCTAGGATGCTGGACAATCAGGCTTTAAGGACCTGAGCTGGGAGTTGGGGTCAGGAGGGGAGGAAGGTAGGGGGTTGGGGGAGCTGGAAAGTGAGATTAATATTAAAGGATGCTAAATCAAGGATATTATTATTATTATCATGTATCACCTGTATCACCTATCATGTATTACCTCCACTATATCTCATCTGGTGTGGTAGAAGGATTGAGGGAGAGGGAGGGAGGGAAAGAGGGAGGGAGGGTGGCATGTGTAAATTAAATGAATATGTGGAACTCTCAGTCTGACTGAATACAATTTCTTCCAGTAGTACAAAAAGCACTTCTGAAGGAGGAAGCAACCATCTTGAAAGGCAACAGCGCCATCTACTTTAATTACAGCACTATCTCCAAAGGCAACTCCATCGCCAGAAACAGCATTGTGAGCTAGAGGGGGCAAAAGAGGATCAAGCATAAGTGACTGATAAGTAGTGATGTTGAACTTGAATGGAGAGCACTGGATTGACGCCAGTTGGAGTACTGGCTATAATTCTGGTCGCTGTATTACAGTTGTCCAAATTATTTGCATAATTTGATAATGTTTTATGTGGACAAAGTTTTAATATTCAAATTGCAAGAATTATTATATTTGAGCATATATAGAAGGGTTTGATGAAAATAAGTATATGCAGAGAACTACCAGATGAGACGGGGTAAATAACAGGACTGTCCTGTAAAAGAAAGCTGGCCAATAAATGTGTAACATTTTTCATTTTCTACTTTTTTCTTCTTAAATTATGTTTTAAAAAGTTTGAAGGCAATACATAAACTTTCATTTGGCAGTAACAAACAAACCCAGCAATGCATTCTGATATTCACATGGATGAAGCAATTGGAACTCAAGCCCTATTTGCATCACCAACAACACGATCATAACAACTAACAATTTTCTATTTACAGAGCGCCTTTCATGTCGGCGGATGACATGAACTGGGAATTCGGGCTGGTCCTGTGTTTGTTACTTTCAAAAAAGTGATCAACTTTTTTTAGAAATCATGTAAGAAGAAACAATAATAGAAATTAAAAATTATCAACAGCTGTAAAGGCAGCGACAATGACATTCAGAAATCCTTGGAAACGCTATAAGAGGAAGAAATTTGAGAAGCATTTAGAAATGAATTTACCATATTTCCTTAAATTAAATAGGGTATTGTGTTCAGTACTTTTTGATCTTTTTACTTTCATTTGGGGTTCAGTTTTTATAACACGCCTGCCACCTGTTGCTCT